GTAGTAGTAGTAGTAGTAGTAGTAGTAGTAGTAGTAGTAGTAGTAGTAATAGAAGAAGAAGGAGTAGTAGTAGTAGTCGTAGTAGTAGTACTAGTCGTAGTATCAGTAGAAGAAGCATTAGTAGTAGTAGTAGCAGTAGTAGTAGTAGTAGTAGTAGTAGCAATCGTACTAATACTAATACTAGTCTTTGCAGTAGTCGTCGTCGCAGAAGTGCGAGTCGTAAGAGTAGTCGCTATAGTCGTTGCTGTAGTGTGAATCATAGCAGTCGTGTTTGCAGCAGCGCCCTATCAGCCTCGTCAAACATATCCAGAAATGGAAGCTGAAATCCTGGAGCACGATTCTGTCGGGCACTTGTCAGAATGCGCTTTCTTCAATGCTGAGAGGGTGGGGTCGGTTTTTGGACAACGCCGCGTCCGAGTCATCAGGAATCCGTCAGCGTTGGAGGAGCGTTGGCCCCACAATCACCGAATTCAGAAGTCCTCTGTTTATTTTTGACGAAGTTTCTTCGCATATAGGCGTATATGTTGGGGCCCCTTGGTTTGGATCCACCCGTTCAGGCGTCGAGCTCGATGCGGCCAACCAATGAACAGCATTTTTCCGCCCGCGCGCGGTTGCGTTGGCGACCGCGTGAGTTGTGCCTGCCAAGTCGCGCATGGGTGGGCAGGATGTTTGCACGGGCGTGGGAGGTGCTCGGCCGCGGCGGCCTGGCGCGCCGCCCGCGCGCGGTTGCGTTGGCGGCAGTATGTGAGTTTTCCCTGCCAAGTCGCGCATGGGTGGGCGAGATGTTTGCGCGAGCGTGGGAGGTGCTCAGGCGCGAAGGCCTGGCGCGCCACCCGCGGCCGGTCGCGCTGGCTGCGACGGCGGAACGCCGCCGTCGACGTGTTGCGGTGTATTTTCTTGCCGCGCGACACCCCGGCGGCGTCCGCCGCGTTGTATTTTTTGCCAGGGATGGTGGCCGGGTAGTTGCGCAACTATCCAGCAAGTACCCGGCCGTCGCCCACTTTACGTGGCTTTTTGTCAGGGACGGCCGTCTTCGACGCCGCGGCGACCCATATTTACACAACAACTAGCCGGCCGCATCCACCACGCCTTGTTTTTTGAATAGGGAAAGTGGCTCGGGTAGTTGGGTAGTTGTAGAATTTATAAAGGATGAGAAGGAGCCTTTTTATTTTTCCAAAAAGGGTTAAGGAACAACTATCTGACCATCATCCCTGGTGAAAAACAAAGCGCGGTGGATGTGCCCGGGTAGTTGTTGTGTAAATAATGGGTCGCCGTGGCGTCGGAGACGGCCGCCCTTGTCAAAGACTAATGTAAAGTCGGCGGCCGTCGGGTAGCTGCGGGGTAGTTGCGCAACTACCAAGGCCATACTCTCTGATAACAGCCAAGGCGCCAGTTTCCCCAAACAGTGTTTGCGCCGTGGGTCTCTCGCATCGATTGATTGGGAGCAGTCGAGTGGAACCGCTCGTTAGGTCGCACGATCTTCACGCCGTGAGAGCAGTCGCGGCATCATGAGTTTTGCCAACCAAGTCGCGGGTGGGCAGCTGGAGTGTTTGCGAGAGCCCTCATGAGTATTGCCAACCAAATCGCGGGTGGACGGCTGTGATGTTTGCGCGACCGCGGGCGGGGCTATGGCATGGCATGGGTGCAATGACGCACCGTTCGGGGCCCACCCGTGCGTACATATGCGACGGCCAAGCCTCGTCAAAAATATCCAGAAATGGACGTTGAAATCCTGGAGCACGATGCTGTCGGGCACTTGTCAGAATGCGCGTTCCTCAACGCTGAAAGGTGGGGTCGGTTTTTGGACAACGCCGCGTCCGAGTCATGAGGAATCCGTCACAATTGGAGTGGCGCTGGCCCCACAATCGCCGAAATCAGAAGTCTTCTATTTATTTTTGGCGAGGCTTGTAGTAATGGTGGTACCACCCGGGCTATTAACAGCATCACGATATGCAGTAGTACTACGACTACTTCTCGTGCTAGTGCTACTATTGTTTCTGCTACTATTACTATTTCTATCCTACTCCTGCAACTATTCGTCTTCGCCACCAATCGTCGTCGCCGCTCGTCGTTTTATCGTCGCCATTGGTCGTCGTCGTCGTCGTTGTCGTCGCCGCCGCCAGTCGTCTCGTCGTCGTCGCGTGGCCAGTTTTTGTCGTCGTCGTTGTCGGCGGCGTCTTCGTTGCGGTTGTCGTTGTCAGTGTCGCTGTCGGTCGTCGTCGTGCTCGTCTTTTTTTCGTGGCTTCTATACTGCAATTGCCGCTTCTACCATCACTATTGCGCGTACCACACCCGAGCCCGCCACGTTTCTGTTACCCCCCAACGTCGGCCAGACCCCTCCCCCCCCGTCACGGACGTCACCTGGGGGGAATCAAGAACATTTTCTTTGTTGAGGCGGGTGTGTTCAGGACCGTAAGATTTGTTGGGGGCGCCCCCGGAAAATTGCAAGAAACTTGCCACACAGCCGACAATAATCATTGTGCGCCTCGTTGTGACCTGCTGGCGGTGGCGGATTTCGAGCACACATACACATCCCAAGGAGAATCCGGGGCACCATCGGGCCCCTGTGATGTCACGCCTGCGAATGTCGTATGCGATTCTGTTGCATATTCTAGGACGCAGCAAGAGATGTCGAAGTTCTCTCCTGCGTCAGCATGTTCCTGGGACCACGCCTGCGGCTTGTTTGATTACTCCTACAGCCAGGTGTGCCTGTTGTCTATACCCATCGGCCGTTGAAGAGTAGGTTTTGTTGGATTCCCAGTACCCAATCTACTTTAGCCGCCCTCCTACTTCAAGAGTCGAGTGGTTGTCTCTCTTCCCTCCTCTTCAGGAGGCGGGCGGAAACCCAATCCACTTCCAACGCCTTCCTACTTCATTTGTTTCACCTACTTCTTCCGACCGACGGGTACATCCTTCTCTGCCTCTCCCCGAAACATCTTGGGAAGGTGCTAGTCTTTTTTGCTGTTTCTGTTTTTTGTTAGACTGGTGGTTTGAAGAAGCTTCCAATTCGGAAGGTAGGGAACCCTGTCAGGAGTACAGACGCCGCAATCAATTTAGGAATACTGGAGGAGGAGTGCCAGAGGAGGCGTGACGGCGAAGGAACAAAGGAGGGGGGGGAGGGGGGGCGGGGGAGGATGGTGAATTGCAGCCTAGATGTGTATAGTCTGATCAACCTCCAGAAGGGAGGGTGCGCTTTCCACTTCGGGAGACTGTTACCTCCCAATTTTCGCCCCCGTCGCCGATCGACTGGATTCGCGAGCCTTGCAGACGGAGCTTGAAATCTGTCAGATCGAAGACCATACCGCCAGAAGCTCGCCACCGCACCCAGAGACCCCTCCCGAAACACGTGCCGCGTTGTTTGGCTTAGCGGCTGTCCCCCCCAGCTCATCCCCCTGGGTATGACGCCTCCAGTTCCCCTGCTTTCCCCTCCCGCCTCGTGATCCTCGCCGTCCTCTTTCTCTTGCTCCGTCCCTGCCTTTTCGCCGCTCCGCTGGCCCTCCCCTCCTTTTTCGATCTCCCCAGCGCACCCCCAGCAGCAGGGCGGCGGGGGCCGGGAGGAGCAGCACGAGGAGGAGGAGGAGGAGGAGGAGGAGGAGAGGAGGAGGAGGAGGAGGAGGAGGAGGAGGAGGAGGGGTGGTGGAGGAGGAGTGCTGGCGGCTGGGGCGGGCGGCAGGCCTGGGTGCTCGGCGAGTGGGCGGCGAACTCCTGGGCGGCGCGGCGGCGCGGCGCGCCGGAGCAGCGCCAGCATGCGTGAACGATGCTGCAACACGCCCTCTCGTTCGAAGCCCCTCCCGAAAGTCCCGACACGCCCTCCCCCTTCGCTAGACGCAGAGGCCCCGTTGGAAGGCCAACACCACACGGCCACACGGGGTTGCCATTCAGGCGAAGAAGCCGTTCCGAGAACACCTGGCCTGGCACCTTTTGAGAGAAGAGAGTGCGCAACAAAACGATCGCACAGCTCAGCGAGGTGCCTAGTGAGGTCCCCGCTCTGGAAAAGGACCGCCCCTCATCCGCGCAGCCGTCGAACATGTTTACACTGCCGACCATGTGGTCGTTTTTGTTTTTCATTATTTTGCCGATCGGCGCGGGCCCCTAACCCCCCCCTCCCCCACCCCCCCATGGAGTAGATCTTGGCTGTTTTTGGGCGCCTGTTTCGAGCAGGTGGAGTCCCTCCCCCATGGGACGCACTGCTGTAAACAGCCGCACTAAGCAGATGTCCAGAGCCAGACCCCCCCCTCCCGCCCTTTTCGCTCAATGTCGAAACGCCGAATCAGAAAGCGCTCACCATGGTTCCGAGGAAGTCTCAAGCGAGATTAGAGATGCTCTCCTGGGGCTAGAGCTGCCCCTGTGTCTACAAGAGCTACCCCGTCGCCTTGGGATTAGAGATGTTTCCTTGGGACTGGCATTCTCCAGCTTGGCGGTAAATGTGTTCTCCTGATGAAATGTGCCCTTCCCCATTGTTCTGAAAATCTGAACGCGCAAACCACGCTTGCAACGCTGCTTGGTGTATTGGGTGTCTAGATATTGTGCGTATGATGCAACCGATGTTCCCAGCATCCGATTGCTTTGCGGAATCGGTACGCCACATGATCGGCGCCCTTCGACATGCGGATAAGGACCTTGAGTACGCGGCGCAGGAGGAGTAAGTTTTACAAGAAGAGGGGGAGTCGGGGGATTCAGAGGAGTAGGACAGGGGGGCTCGTCTCAACTTCTGCAAGGAGTCAGATGTATCAGCACCCCATCGTACTTGCAGCGCTTCGGCTGCACCTCGTGCTGCTAATCATTCCCTCCCCCGTAACGTTGTCTGGTTTCGGCTTTCGGGTCATAACTCGGTTCTCCGCCGTCCGTTTGGGACGGCCTGGGCACCCGCGGAACGCCCTTGGCAAGGCGCAGCAATGGGAAGCCATCCCAAGGCTGGAAGAATCCCGAAGACCGACGGGAACTTCCGAAAACTTTGACCCTCGAACATGCAGCTCCCCCCTGAGCCCCTCCCTCCCGAGATGTCATTGCCGCGAAGACGGAGGAGCTCGAGGTGGCGACGAACAACACACACCCCGACCCAGAGGGGGGTCGGAGGGATGAGGGCTGGCCTTGGGTATGTTTGTGGGCTGTCGGAACCGGGGGAGTCCCCCGCTCGATCGGCACGCACGATATGGGTACGGAAAGAATGGGTACAATGCCCAACAGCAGTTCCTGTTCATTTTGAACAGGACTCGCTGTCCGCGCCGCCGCGGCTGTGTCCGTTTGAGACAGAAGGCCGCCTGCCCAACAGCGGCCGCTGTTGGCTTGGGACAACATTTGTGGTTGGGCATTGCACCCATTTTTTCCGTACCCGTTTCGGGCGTCCAAGCTCGAGCGGGGACCCCCATCCGACAGCACGCATCCATAGCCCCCTTCCGTCCCTCTATGGGTGTGGGTGCGTGGTGCTCGTTCGCCACGAGGTGCTGACGAAGCAGATCGGGGCGCTCGCGGACCAGCTGACGGAGCTGGAGGGCCAGGACACGAAGGCCCCCACCGAGCGGAGCGGCCGCGGCCACGGGGGCCGGCGCGGCTCGGCCTCCACCACCTCCTCTTCCCACTGCTCCTCCCGTTCCTCCTCTTCTTCCTCCTCTCCTCCTCCACCTCGCACTCCTCCGCCTCCTCTCTTCTGCCACGTTCCACCTCCTCCTTCCTCCTTCTCCTCGTCGTCCTCCTCCCATCTCCTCCTCCTCCTCCTCCTCCTCCTCCTCCTCCTCCTCCACCTCGCACTCCTCCGTCTCCTCTCTTCTGCCACGTTCCACCTCCTCCTCCTCCACCTCCTCCTGCTCCTCCTCCTCCTCCTCCTCCTCCTCCTCCTCCTCCTCCTCCATCTCCTCCTCCTCCTCCCCCTCCTCCTCCTCGGGGCCGGTGGCAGCCATCATCGCCACGCTGCTCGACGCTGGGTGGAGTCCAGTCAGGCCTGACTCGTGGAGAAGGCCAGCGGCAGAAGGCGTGGAGGAGTGGACCATCCCCCTGGCGGACGCCAACGGATGCCGCATGGTCGACTTCCACGAAGTCTCCGAGCTGATCGACGACCTAACCGAGGACTTGGACGCCCTGCGATGGAAAAGAGCTGCCAAACATGCCCATGACGCAGGACTTGGTGGCAACGGCGACGTATCGCAGATCAAGCGGGAGCTGAACTACTGTGCCAAGGAGGGCCAGTGGCAGGACTGGGCCCTCAACTACCTGGTGGCGGTGGGTGGGCAGTGGCCGAGGCAGAGGTAGGCCAGCGCGGGGCACCAAGGCTCCCCACTATGCCAGCGCTGCCACTCGGAGGAAGAGTCCTTCGAGCACCACATACGGCGCTACCCGTGCAACGCGGGCAAGCCAACCTACGACCAGACGGCCCACCTCGTCCCGCAGGCCTTCAACAGCGTCGCAGGCTGTCCAGCGTCGTGGCTCCGAGGTACCAACCCAGCCGCCAACACCACCCCACCGCCACCACAGCCACACGAGGAGAGGTTCGTGCTGGTCGGCCACCCCTGGCCCGAGCCGTCAGACGGGCTGTGCGCGATCTTCGGCGACGCCCCGCGCGGGAAGCACAGCGACGACTCTCGCAGAAGGAGGATCGGCATAGGCCTCGCCTTCATCTCGAACACCAGCGGCCGTTGGCAGCCATACGCGGGGCCATCGCCACGCTCCCTGGGCGGAAGCAGACGGTTCCTCGTTGAGAGATCTACGCCTTCGTGCTGGCCCTCGAGCGCACGTGCGCCGACATCGAGTTCGTCACAGACCACAAGCCGCTGCTGACTGCGTGGGACATGCAGCGCTGGAACAGCCTGTGCGCAGGCAGGAACAGTGACCTCTGGGCGCGCGTTGGCAGAGCACTCGTGGCCCAGCCCACCAGGCGAGTCAAGGTCACCTGGGCGCCCTCCCACCAGGGCGACGACGGTGAACCCATTGTCTCGCAGCACCTGGCCACGGGCAACTGCTGCGCCGACAGGCTCGCCAACCTCGGCGCTCAGATCGCTCAGCAAACTGCCGCGGCCAGCGTCCCGCACGCCGACCGCCGGGACGTCATTGCTTCGCAGATCAGGAGGCGTTCGATGCAGGCGCTCGTGGATGCTGCGGGCAGGACCCTTGGCTCACTGAGAGGTCAGCAGCTGAGTCGGCCGCCCACCTTTCCCCTCTCCAGAGCGCCATCGCCAGCTCGGAGCACCGGATCGTCGCCCTGGGCCAGGGCAAGTGGAAGCGCGTCCTCTGCCGCTTGCCGTTCCCCCTCGCCTCTCTCAAGGAGGCGGCTGCGGGACCCTGTCGCTCTTCAGCCATCGACATGGGCCATGTTCGACCACGTTCTCGAGGCCACCCATGGCAGCCCAGTCACCGTGGACACGGGGGCCACCAAGAGCTCGCATTGCGTCGCGAAGTGGCCCGCCCACGCGCTCTTCTTCTGCAACGTGCGCGGCGCCTGCGGCACGAAGATTGGCATGGGGTCACGCTCGGAGTGCAAGAGCGCCACCTCCCGCAAGCCGGAGAAGCCCCTCAAGAGGATCGCGAGTTCTGCCTACCCCTCCGACAGCGGCCCCCCGCGGGCCACTGGCCAAGCGGGGCGCTGCGGTGCCGCCGTCGCCCACGTGGCCGCTGGCGGCCTGGCCCCGCCTGACCCCCCGCTGCCGCCGCCGCCGGAGCAGGCCCCCTCCCCGCCGCCGCGGAGGAGCAGCTCACCGCGGTCATCAGCGCCCTGCGCCACCAGGCCACCAGAGCTTCAGCCAGGCCATCCCGCGCCAGGACAAGCGACGCGGGCAGCGCGACCGCTGGCCATGCCGCCAGGAGGAGGCGCTGCACGGGGACGCCCTCAGCTGCGGCAGCGGCCAGCCCCGCCAACCTTCGCCAGGCCGCTGCAAGCCGCGCGCACGGCGCGCCGGCCACCGGCAGCGGGCGGCCTCCACGCCCCGAGCGGGGGCGCAGCAGACAGGCACCCAGGAGGGCCATGCTGGGCGAGTCGCCGTCGGCCACGCCAGGCCCCAGGCTATGGCTGCAGGACTGCGCGGCGCCGTGCTCGGGCGGAGTCGCCCTCGACTTCGGGGCCGCCCGCGCGGCGACGGTTACGGCCAGCTCGACCGCGCCGGCTGCGCCTGATCATCGGCCACGCGAAAGCTTGCTCCCGCGCCCGACGGCAGCCGCACAGGTGCCCCCCAGCCCATGCGGAGGCGGCGGCGCCCGCGCGAGCGCCGACCGGCGCGCCCTGCTGAATAAGGCCCAGTTTCTCCTCCAGGCCTTCCGCGGCAGGCACGGCCACCCTCGAGGTTCCCAGAGCAGGAGTCCCCGCGGCACGACGTCGACCAGAGGACGTCAACCCCCCCGGCGGGGCGCTGCTCCTGGCCCACAAGCCGCCAAATCGGAGCCTCCTGGTGGCAGTCCTTCTGCGCGAGCGGATGGTTGTCATAGTGGCGGATCCTCGGCGGGGCCCGCGCCGCGAGGTGCTGCGGCCGCGACGGCCACTGCGCGACCGGGCGCGAACAGGTCGCCCACCCCCCGCCGCCGCTCGCTTCGCCCGGGCAGCCGCCAGACGGACAGAGCCCAAGGCCGAGATGCAGCAGGCCGAGGGGCACGCGCCCCGTCGGCGATGGGCCCCCGCCAACTGCCCCCCCACATCACCAGCAGGTCGAGAGGGGCTACATGAGCATGCGCCACGACCTCCGCGACTGGGCGGCGAACTGGTTCGAAGGCGCAGCGCTTCAGAGCTGCGACCAGCGCGCATGGCGGGGGCAGTGCGTCCTCGTCCTCAGCGCGACGCTGGCCCAGGGCAATCACCCCCTGCGAGAGAGCTTGAGGCGGTGGTTCGGCAGGCCGATTTTCGAAATCGCGGAGGACCTCGGCGCCAGTGCATGGCGCCGCGCCGCGCTCAGGCGGCGAGCCTTCGTCGTCGGCCATGAGGAGGCTGATCTTGAGGAGCGCCACCGCATGGGCCAACGGCATGCGCGGGAGCTCCACAACATCATCGAGATGTTCAGAGCCCTCGGTGGCGGGCAGTTCGGGCCCGCTGCGACGCCCGCGAGACGACGCGCGCTTCGGCCCTGCACCCCCGCCGGGCCACGCGTCGGCGCCCCGGGGCTTCTCGGTGGCAGTCCTACTGCGCAAGCAGCCAGTTGTCCTAAGGACGGGTCCTCGGCGGGAGCCGCGCCTCGAGGCCCCGCGGTTGCGACGGCGGCTGCGTGGCCCAAGTGAGGGCATGGACATGTCCGACTGGCACCTACGGAACGAAGGGGCGCCCCGCCCAGTGGAAGCACGGCGCGCGGCGTAGCGGAGAGGAGTGCTGTCGCAGCGCGCGCGCGTCGCTGCTCATGCTGGAGCAGGTCGGCCCCGGCAGCTTCTACGAGTATGGCGTGGCGGAGGGTCGCGGACTACCATCGCAGCGCGCGTGCTCTGGAGCTGCAGCAGGACCAGTGCAGGCGTCGTGGCCGAGGGCGACATATCTTGCAATCGGCGGTGATCAGTTCAGTGACCACACGACGCACGAAGAGCATCCCTTGTGATTGCGTCGCGGGATGCTCCGCGCACCGCGAGCATTGCAATCGCTGCAATGGCGCGGCGGAAAAAGACGCCCAATGCGCTGATCAGGAGGAACAAATCCGAGGCAAGTATCCTCGGCGACTCATGCAACGCCGCTTGAAGACCCCCGGCCTCCAGCGCCTCGACGAGATACGAATGGGGCGGCATTCCGGATGGAAGGCCATCGGAGTCGGCAGGTGCGCCAGGGCAGGCTGCATCGCTCGCATGGGCGCAGGTGGTGACAGCGGCAACATGCGCCACCTCCGCGCATGGGTGCCCGAGTGCAAGACTCGCGTGCCTGTCCAGAAATGAGCGCGCGAGGTGATGATCTGGTCAGCGGCGAAACCCAGACCCAACGAGTTTCGCCAGGCGGCCTACGTCTCATCGCGCCATACCAGAATTGCGCGCGAGCGCGTGGACGAATGGCCGCCAACTGTCCTGATCCAGGGTTGTCTCATCAACGGCAACCCAGTGCTACCGATGACCTTCCCTAAGCACAGCTTGGCCGAGCGATGGTGCCAACTGGGCGAAGAGGAGCGCACCTCGGCAGCGTCGGCTCTGATGAGCTTCAACTGACTGCCGCGGGAGCGCATCGACAACCTCCTAGCGAGGTTCGACATCCCCCGCAACCGGGCGCATCAAGCTGGTAAACCCATGATTGGCTACGAAGGACTCTGCTTCCTCCTGCTGCTCGCCGTTGGCGCGTTGAACACTCAAGACACCATGCCACTACAGCGCTGCAACATGGCCTGCCTGCCCCACCAACCTTCGGCAGCTCACCCATACGACGGGCCAGCTGAGACGCTTTGGGCACATGATAGAGGGATTGCCAGGCAACCTCGCCTCGGCGGCCCACTCTGCCCAACAGCAGACGTTCCTCACGGGCACGCGCGCGCAGGAGCAAAGCTCGGACGGCAGGTGTCCTGCTGCACTGGAATCGGCACCGAGCCCCCTTGCACCAGCCGAAGCCGCATTTGGTTGCTGCGCCTCCCGACAGCGGCACCACCGGCACACGGGGCATGCCCAGCAGCAGAGATCGATTCAGGCACCGGTACCGAAACCGCCAGCCCATTCGGCGAGGAAATTGCCGCCGACGACACCGAGGTGCGCCACATCCCCGTGGAACAACGTGGTGCGCGCCTCATTTGGTTTACTGGAGCATGGCAAACCACGCAGCAGCGCGGCAGACCATATAGGAGCACGGCAGACCACGCGGGAGCATCCGTAGCCATTTTGGCCCAAGCCGATTTGTGGCACGGTCTCCCGCGGGCCCCGCGGCAGTGGTGTGGCACGGCGGCTGCCCTGGTCGAGGCGGCGGCCATGGGCGGCCGCCGAGGGCGGAGGCAGCCGCCAGGTCGTGGCAGCGGCGGTCGCTGCGGCCTGCAGGTGCGCCGCGGCTTCGACGCAGCCCGCGCAAGCCGGAGGCGACGGCGCCGAGGAGCTCGCGGTGCGCCTCGCCGCGATGGCCCCGGCGATGCTGCAACGCATCTGGGGGCAGTGGCCCGACGGGCAGGCGCGCTCGCGCCGCAACGTCGGCGCTCACTGGCGCCTCGGCGAGGCTGGTCTCCCGATCGAGCTGCTCGAGGATGCCCTCCTGGACCCGCGGCGCTCGCAGAGGGGGGCGCGCCAGCGCGCGCAGGACATGGTGGAGAAGCCCGACGGGAAGGATGGCGCCACCGAGGAGTCCACGGAGAGCGGATCGGCCTCGGAGATGGAGGACAAGCCGCTCTCCGAGCTCATGAAGCAGGTGTTGGACGGGAAAGGGGAGCAGGAGTCCGACGGTAAGTATGCGAAGCTGGTGAAGGTGCTGGCGATCCTCGCGAGCGAGGTGGCGCAGCCCCAGACCCAGCTCGCAATGGTGACCACAGCTGAGAGCGGGGAGGAGGTGCAGGGAGGCATCGGCAACCCCGTCAAGATGAAGGTGAAATCGGAGATCGGGGAAGCAGCGCAGGAAGGCATCGACAACCTCATCATGAGTTAGGTGAAGAGCGAACCGCCCAAGAAGTGCAAGGAGCTCAAGGAGCCGCACTACGAGGATGGCGGCAAGGAGAAGATCGCGAACCTAGTAGAGTCCCACGAGTTCGAGGGTAAGCAGCAGGAGCGCGGGGTCGCGATGGCGGCGCAGACGGAGATCGGGGAGGTGGTGCAGCATGGCATCGACAACTCCATCATGATGAAGGTAAAGATCGAGACGCCCACGAAGCGCACGAAGCCCAAGGAGCCGCACTTCGAGGAGGGCGACAAGGAGAATATCGAGAACCTCAATAATTCTCACGAGTTCGACGGCAAACAGCAGGAGCTCGGGGGCATCGTCGCGAGGGCCGAGGGCGTCTGGCAGGACTCGAAGCTGCAGGACAAGCTCGACGGCGGCGACAATATCGAGGACGGCGCGAAGCTGTTGGTAGGCGGCGCGGAGACCCCCTTTGCGAGGAGCGGGAGGCCAAGCAGCAGGAGCAGGAGGACGCAGTAAAACATTTCACGATTTCAAGGGCTCGGGTGACTCGCCGGCGCTGGCGAAGCATGCCGAGGTGGACGAGGACACCCCCGAGGAGAAGATCGAGAAAGCGGTGCGCGACAAACTCTACGGTAAGGAGTTGGAGGGCATCGCCAACCCCATCGCGATGAAGGTGGGCGACCGCGTGCGCATCACGGCGGGGCAGCACGCAGGGCGAGCTGGCAGCTTCGTCGGGGCAGCCGAAGGAGATGTTCGCACGCGGCTTGCTTTCTTCGACCTCGCGCAGGTGGTCCAGCGGCAGGTCGGCGCGCCCTTGCGCCTCAGCGACTCATCATTCGGGCTCCTGCGGGCCATGGGCACTGTCGAGGCAGCCCGCGCGGTCACGCAACTGTTCGCGTTCCACATGCAGGGCTCGGCCGCAGACCTTTTGAGAAAGAGTGTCGCCACTGCCAAGGGGTTGCTTTGAGGCCGTTGAAGCGCGTTGCTTGCCCTGTCGTGTATGCTCTAGCCAGGCCTCTTGTCCCTGTCAGTGTGCACGTTCGCGGGCCGCCTGGTTTTTGATTGCCCGTTGAGTTCAACTCGGGTCCGAGGGGTCATCGAGGAGCTCTTCGGAGGGGGGGGGGGGGGGCTCGGCGTGGAGCGTGCGGGGCCCAAGTCGCGCGTCGGCTGGCCCGCCTCCGCCGTCCCCTGGCCGCGGTGGCCTCCCCCTGGGTAGTGGCGGGTACTCCCTCCGAGCCTTTAATGCCCAGGCTTTCACTTTCACTTTCACTTTCACCACACGGGAGCACGGCAGACCACACAGGAGCTCGTCAGCCTACTGGGGCACGGCAGATCACAGGAGCACGGTGCACCACACGGGCACGGCAGACCACGGGAGCACGGCAGTTGGCAGGAGCACGGCAGACCACACAGGAGTACAGCAGACCATGCAGGAGCACGGCAGGCCCAAGGAGCACAGCAAAACAAGTCACAGGAACACGGCAAACCACACGAGAACACGGCAGACCACGCAGGAGCACAGTAGAGCAATTCCACAGAGCAGCGTGGCAGACGAATGCAATGATCCGATGGGATTTGTGTTGGTCGTCTGCGATTCGTTTCTGAGTTTTTCCGACGTTCTCGACCCAATTTTGTTTGACAAGCTTCGTGACAGACCTGCGCTTCCCGGTTTTGCCCGGACACGTCTCTGCAAAAATGGCCGCCTCGCTCGAAACATCCTCCAACAAATCGTCCCCGGAAGAGACTCGGAACCGGCTTCGTCGTAGAATTGTTCCCATTGGGCTTTCTAACGGCCCAGAGGAAGCGCAAAAGACGCCCCCGAGGGCCCCAAGAACGCCCCGAGAGGACCCGAAGAGTCCCCTAAGAGCGCTCCCAAAGGCACCCAGGCAGCTCACAAGAACCCCAAGACGGGCAAAGAAGGCCCCAAGAGACTCCCAGGACCGCCCCAGGAGGCCCCCAAACGGCGTAAGAAAACCCCAAGACGGCCCAAGATGGCGCCGAAACGGTACAACAAAGTTCCCCAACAAACACCCACGACGCGCCCAGACAGCCCAAGAAGACCGAGAAGCCCACAAGTGGACCCAAGAGGCTCCCAAGAAGCCCCCGACAGGCTCCAACACAACCCCTCGCGGCGCCAGGAGCCTCCAGGGTAGCCCGATAGGGTCACCAGGACCTTGTCCTGATCCAACATCCTATCCAATTGCCTCTCACTGTCCCCCGTCGCCGTCGTCATCGTCCTCCGCATTCCTCCTCGTACTCGCCCTCGTTCTCTTCGTCCTCGTCCTCTTGCTTCTCTTCCTCCTCGTTGTCCTCATGCTCCTCCTCGCTATCGTCACGTTCTCCACTCCGTCCTCGTCATCGCCTCCTCGTCGCCCTCGCCGTCCTTCTCTTCTTCTTCGCCCAGTAAGACCCTTGGACTAAAGCGGCGCTTTCCGTTCTTGCCCGATCAGGCTCATAATCAATAATGAAAGGGGGGCGAGACCGACGGAGGAAGGGAATGAGAGGGGAGAGATGCGGTGCGGCGGCGGGAGCGGCAAGACAGCAAGGGGTGGCGAGACGGGATGAGCTGGAGGAGGAGCACGAGAGGAGGAGGAGGTGGTGGAGCAGGAGGAAGAGGAGGAGGAGGAGGAGGAGGAGCAGGAGGAGGAGGATTAGGAGGAGGAGCGGGGGAGAGGGGGGGAACAGAGGGTCAGCTGACACTACAGATCTCAAATAGCTTGCACCACATGACTTGCCAGGCATTGCGTACACATCCACAGTGCAAGAGCTCTTTTTGAGGGTTCAACGCTGTCAGGCGTCTGTACACGCATACGGATGCAGTGGCAAAGACTCGTTTGCTTATCGCGGCGCCCGAGAACGAACGACGCGGTCGAGGCCTGGACGGGTAGGGAAACGCAGAGGCACACAGACACACATTATATATGCATGACATCATGAGGGCATCAGCACGCCTGTTGGTGCAGAAATTCCATAGCCCTTAGGCTCAAGCTTAATTGGTTGAAGCGAATTTGTTTTTGGGATCGAGCATTTCTTGTTCAAGTTTCGGTTTCGGTCGAACATTTCTTGTTCAGGCTTCGTCTCAAGAGCAATGGCCGACGGTAGCATACCAGACGGCTCACACAGTGGGCAACCTCCGTGCCCGGTACTGCTGACACGTGCGGTCTCCACACGGACGCATTCGACGCTCAACGAACTTGCAGAGGAATGCATTTGTCCAATTTCTCATGCTTTGATGGTCGATCCAGTCATCGCAGCTGACGGCCATACTTACGATCGTGCACAGATTGAATCTTGGCTACAACGTGCTGACCACGGGGCACAAGCGACTTCTCCGCAAACGCGCGAGCCACTGGTGGATACACGCTTGCTTCCCAATTTGGCAATCCGCCGAACCATTCAGCGGCTCGTGGACTCTGGCCGACTGGATGACGGAATCGTAAAAGAATGGCAGGAAAGCATGTCGGAGCAGTTTCGTCGCGCTAGCACAGCGGTCAGGGATAAGTCTTTGAAGCGGTTTCCACTTGGCACCGACGTCGAAGTCGTTGCCGTCCTCTCCAGTGCCGGAGGCGGGGAAGGTGCAGGCGACGATTTCTTAGTGGATGTTCGTGCTTACGCTGGTGGGAGGCCTGGCGGTGGTTTGTTCGGGGGGCCTCCTGAGGCAGCGCCCGATGGAAGATTGCTGTTAAAGTCTGCACCAGCAAGCGCCGTGTTGCGGGCTTCACGGCATCTGAGCGCGGACATTCAACACACTTTGGGGTCTTTTCTGGAGCTCTCTGAAGATCGAGCGGGGGCCTTGACGCCTGCTGCGTTGCCCGCCGATGAGCTTCAGAGGCGAGTTTTCTCGTCAGCGCGTGGTAGTGTTGATGATGAGACGTCAGAAGGTCTCTGGCGAGCGAGCGCCGATGATACCTTGATGGTTGTGATGCACATGCTCCGGCGTCTAAAGTCCACGGGCGGCTTGTCTGACGTAGCAGGAGTTGAGTTCGAGGTTCTTGAGGAAGAGTTGACGCGCCGGCACAAGGCTCGTGTCTTCCAGTATCTGATCCCCCGCCTCAGCAGGAGCCCAGTTCATCTAAAAGCGGTGGTTCAGAGTGTCTCCGACCGCGGTGAGTTCACATTGCGATTTGAGGGCGAAGGTCTGGAAGGTGCAACAGCGACAGTACCTGGAGACTCATCATACAGCCAGCTGCCTGCGGCGAGTCCCGCCACCGTGCCAGCCCAGAACCTCGGCTGGCGCCGGATCGAGGAGGGGTGCACAGGAGGCCGCGACATGTGACACCTCTTGCCCACATCCTTGGGGACCGTATCGCCTGACACGCTCTTCTACATCGTGTCGGCCCGCCTGTCCTCGTCCGCGGCGCAGGCTTCGCGGAGGTGAACTGATGACGACGGTGATGACGATGAGGAGAAGGAGGATGGGAAGAGGAGGAGTAGGAGTGTCGCTGAGGAGTATCGCGGTCGAACGAGTAGCCAGGAGGCGCCGGCGGCCAGAAGATTTCGCGGCCGAAGTTCGCCGCACGGGCCGACCCCGTTCCAGACTCAACACTGCCAAGCCCGTAAGCTTTTCAACGCGCTGGCGTGTGGTCGGATGTCTTCCACTCCACCGCGACAGCTACGAGGTGCCTCAACCCTAGTTGCACTGCTGGTGGCTCGGCACCAGCCCCTCGCGTTCGAAATCCCCGCACTGAGGTTGAGACAGGGGCCAGCTCCCCACACACGTGCGAGTCATCCGCGGAAGCGCTGCATCGCAAGCCTACTGTGCACTCCTGCAGCCTTCTCGCACGAGCTGATCGCACCGCCGTAACTGATGCCACCGCCTGCTTTCTCGCACGAGCCCCCGTTGGCAACAGAGTACTTGCTGCCACTGCCTGCTTTCTGTTGTGTGCTCCACCGCCTTCCCGTGCTTGTTGCACGCCCACGCTTGATTAATGTTCGCACGAGCTGAGCTGGTGCCAACGTTGTAGCTGATTGCGTGTGCTGCCACTGCCCTCCGCCGACTTCGACGATGGGCCCCGCTGTGCAGCTGATGTTGCTGGGCTCGCATCTTCGCTCCACGCCTGCTGCCACTGCCTGTCCTTCTCGCACGCCTGGGCACCGCTGCTTAGATCTATCCATTTCTAATGAATTCAGTCGGCTGCTCTGCGCTGACTGTCAGTACAGTGAGCGGCTTGAATAAGGAACACTTCCTTTTCAAAAGGGGCTCGGTCGTTCCTTAGGCTTGCATGCGTTATTCATCATTCCTTAATGCGTTATTTGTTATATATCGTTCCTTCTGCGTTACCCCTTGGAAAAAATAAGGGGCTTCGTTCCTTATTTATCGTTCCTTAGGTCAGGCCGATGACTGTACCTGCTTCCGCTCCAGGAGTCCTCGCACTGACAGCGCAGGCTGCCGCTGCCTGCTCGTCGCACGCGCTGGCCGATCCCGGCACTCTGTAGCTGAAGATCACCTCCCGCGCGTGCCGCCTTCGCACGCGCACTCTCTCGGGCCTCCTCCGCACGGGCTGACCCACCGCTGTGCCTGCTCGCGGTTGCTGCCGCTGCCCTCCGCTCGCGCAAACGATCGGCCCATCCCTGTAGTCGGTTGATCAAGTTCGGCTCGTGTCTTTGCAATTTCCACTGCGGCCATTCTCTAGGGGAACGAACACTGGCAGAAACATGCCGCGCGGACCTCCGAGTTTGTGTGTTCATGCCATTGTTCGTTCCCCTATTCTCGCACAGCCTGTCCCCAGCATTGTGGCTGGTGATGTCTGCGCGCACCGTCTCGCACGGCCGATGTCTAGCTTTGATGCCGATGATGTCGCCTCGCACGCTCTTGCCCGACATGCTCCCAGCACTGAAGCCGCAGATGTCGGCTCGCCCCTCGTCGCACGAGCTATTCCCAGCGTTGGTGCCGACGAAGTCGTCTCGCACGCTCTCGTCTCGGCGGCGCACCTGGGGGGGGGAATTGAGAAGGAGAAGGCCTTCTCA